GGATCACATAGATAGAAAGATAGATAAATAGATAGATAAATAGATAGATAGATATATAGATAGATAGATAGATAGATAGATAAATAGATAGATAGATATATAGATAGATAGATAGATAGATAGATAGATAGATAGATAGATAGATAGATAGATAGATAGATAGATAGATAGATAGATAGATAGATAGATAGATAAATAGATAGAAAGATAGTTAGAATTTGTATTACATTTTTGTATTAACTGAATCTTTAAAAAATAGAATTTAAAACGATTTTGGCATTTAGATTCGCTTTTGGGACATTTTGGGACAATGTAACTAGGTATACGGAGCTCTATCTACTATATATATTCATTGTATGAACTAGGTAGATAAATATTCATATTTTTATATTTTCTGTAAATTTGGAGCATAAAACACACGACATAAATATTCAATTTCCCTCCTTTTTATTTTATGTTTATGTCCGGGTTATTTATGTTTATCTTTCTACTGTACTTTAGGTTGATTTATAAACAAGGTAGATCTTAGAGCATTGTAAGGGACAGTACAAGAATATTAACATGTAACTCTGCAGAGAGAAATTAATAATAGATCTTAGATCATTGTAAGGGACAGTACAAGAATATCAACATGGAACTCTGCAGAGAGAAATTAATAATAGATCTTAGATCATTGTAAGGGACAGTACAAGAATATTAACATGGAACTCTGAAGATAGAAATTAATAATAGATCTTAGAGCATTGTAAGGGACAGTACAAGAATATCAACATGGAACTCTGCAGAGAGAAATTAATAATAGATCTTAAAGCATTGTAAGGGACAGTACAAGAATATTAACATGGAACTCTGCAGATAATAATCTATAATTTTTACAAATATTTAAACACGTGTATTATTGTAGTTTTAGTTTTCGTATAAAACAATTTCATTTTTAAACCAAAGAGAAAGATGAAGATTGTAAAGGCGGGGATGAAGGATTTAGAACGGAGGGGGTTGAAGGATGTAGAAGGGGGGGATGAAGGATGTAGAAGGGGGGATGAAGGATGTAGAAGGGAGGGTTGGAGAGTATAAAAGATGTAGAAGGGGGATGAAGGATGTAGAAGGGAGGGGGAGGATGTAGAAGGGGGGGAGGGGATAAAAGATGTAGACGGGAATCTGAGTACTCCCCAGGGACCCTGGATAAAGGGGAAATAATGATATCTTTACTAAAAACCAAAACCTGGATTATTTAATTCAAAACATCTTAACCCCTTCAGTTATTAACAAGTTGAGTTCGTCTACTAAATATTTTACTATATAAAAAAAGGAAAAATCAGGGAAAATCAGAAACCATTTATTTAGTTAGAGAAAACATTTAGGTTAGCACAGTGATAAACAGAAAACTCATCTGAAATAGGAAGACGGCTTTAAACTCAAGTTAGAACTTAAACTAGTTCAATGAACATTAGACATAGCAATTGTACAGTGTAAATAGACCCTTTTCAAATAGGAAAATGTTCTGCAGTATGTTTTACCCAATTTCATTCTCATTATACTAGCTCACAAAACACACACACACATCCCCCAAACACAAATATAAACTCTTAAAGGGACTATACCTATGGAAGTAAAAGCGAACCCCATACTTTTTAAAACAGTTACATGCCTGATTTACAACGGTACTTTTTAATTCCGTACCTAAATATTCATGAGGAAGATATCGTCGTTTTTCAATCTGAAGAAGTGATAAATTTTGACAATTTCCTCCTCTGTGTCGGCTGCATAAATCTGTACACATATTCTAACGCTCTAATTTATAATGCTCAATTTCCCACAAAAATTACAAGTTTTTTTAAAATGACGAGAGCATGGAAAAAAAACTTTACTTATTTTAAAACTTCCATTAAAATTCCAATTTAAAGCTAAAAATTTCCTTAAAACCCCCTGAATGCAGAGCTAGCCCAGTGCTGAAGTAAAAACGTGAAAGTTGATATCAAATGTCAGTTGAAATTTCGAGGAATAAGTCGAAAAATTTGTAGACACTTTTTTAAAACAGAAACTCTGAGCTACAAGTTCGGTTACTCAAACAGACCAGTTTCTTTTGTTTTTAAACTCAATTGTTTTTAACACGATGTAACCCTTATCCTTTTACGATTTTACTGTATAGATATATTTGTCTAACTTTAACACCTTTGCAAAAAATATTTGCACAGAAACTAAAGAAAATGTTTGCCAAATCTCCCAGAATGTAAATAATGTGTTTTATACACCCAACGTAGATGTTTTTATCATTAAAGGGACTGTAAATGTAAATTCAAGTGACCCTCTAAAGGCATATCCGATATTTACAATCCCTTTAAACCTTAGTTTGATCAAGGGTGAATATCTCTGCTGACGTATTTTTAAAACCTCTCCCTAGCACCCTGACAATTACAATTTTTAACAAGAACAAAGATTTGTTCAGTTTTTTATAAGAATATTTAAAGATGTTTCATAGGATACGGTATAGGAGGATACAGACTTTGGGAGGGTTATAGACTGATAATCAGTAAACAGTTCACAAAAATACAAACAAACAATCAAACACTCAAGCAAACAAAGGGGGTACAGGCTTACGGCGAAAAATGAGTGCTTTTGATCGCTAAAAATCATACTTCTATCTGATTGCGTCTATCAGGAGAAAATTGTTAAAAACGACTCATGCTGAAGAACGTAGCGTCCAAAAAAAATTCAGAAAGTTGCATCATTCAACTCGGATCGTAAAATAATCAATTTAATTCCAAACAAATCATTTAAATATTACAACCATATAGTCATCGATTATTTTTCGACGCATTCGTATATTCTTCTTCTATATAATAAAACAAGACGTTCGTATATTTATATAAGTTGCGTATAGCTGACCAAACGGCTGGACCGATTGTGGACATTCTTGAGTGACCGAATTTTTTTTTTCAAAATAGTTAGTATTTCGCTGGTGTTGGATTTTCGAACATTACTAAAAAATAAAAAATAGTTTGAAATATCAACTATATACGAATGCGTCGAAAAATAATCGATTACTATTAGTTGTAATATCTGAATTATTCGTTTAGAATTAAATTGATTTTTTACGATCGGAGTTGAAAATTGCAACTTTCTAAATTTGTATGGACGCTACGTTCTTCGGTATGAGTCGTTTTTAATAATTTTCTTTTTATAGACGCGCAACAGATAGAAGTAAGATAAGTAGCGATCAAAAGCGCTTATTTTTCGCCTTTAGTCTATACCCCCCTTTCATTTTTCGTGAACACTCACTTTAAGTTCTTCTGTTCCCTAAAATTAATTAACGAACCAACCTGGAGTATATCTTGAGTATAGAGGTCGTTATCTTCAGCTGCCCTGGCTCAACTTTTATCTCTTAAATCAGTTTCAACATTTATTTTCCGTAATTGAAAATTATCCAGCTCTCATTTTTCATGGAGGCAGGGGAAAATATTTTTGCTAAAAATTTGGACTTTAAAAACTTTAATTCAGAATATGGTATAACAAACCAAGCTTAGAATATGGTTTAGCAGACCCAGTTTAGATATGTTGTAGCAGACCCAGTTTAGAATATGGTATAACATACCAAGTTTAGAATATGGTTTAGCAGACCCCGTTTATAATATTGTGTAGCAGACCCCGTTTAGAATATGGTGTACCAGACCTAGTTTAGTATATGGTTTAGAAGACCCAGTTTGGAACAGTGTGCCCTGTAGCAGACCCAGTTTAGAACAGTGTGCCCTGTAGCAGACCCAGTTTAGAACAGTGTGCCCTGTAGCAGACCCAGTTTAGAACAGTGTGCCCTGTATCAGACCCAGTTTAGAACAGTGTGCCCTGTAGCAGACCCAGTTTAGAACAGTGTGCCCTGTAACAGACTAAAAGCAAAGATTTGCTCTGATTGTGTAAGGCTGGATGACGAGGTTAGTTTTGAATAAAAACTATATTTGTCTGGAAATCTAGAAATTCTGAAGATCTTAAAACACGTTTTTTAAACTTGGTTTGATTTGCTATTGATCAAAGTTAGTGCGGGAGGATGGTGAGTTGAATTGTATCAAAGTTAGTGCGGGAGGATGGTGAGTTGAACTGTATCAAAGTTAGTGCGGGAGGATGGTGAGTTGAACTGTATCAAAGTTGGTGCGGGAGGATGGTGAGTTGAACTGTATCAAAGTTAGTGCGATTTTTGGTTAAAAACAAAAGTTTTACCAATTACATAAAATTTAACTGATGGAGTGAAATGGGTCTGTAAACACTGCTCAATTAATGTTGTTTTTCAAGTTCATCAGGCTATGTAAAGTGATAACTTAAGTTTAACAATCGTCTTACTTTTCTACAATTTCATGGATTCCATCTGTTTAAAGCTAATTTACATGATTGTGGTATAACAAACAAAACAAAACCTTCAAGATATTGTTAAAAGAATCACGCAACCTCGCGTCCANTTGTTCCCTTTAAGATACCCCCCTCCCTACCTATCCTTCTCCAAAACTCTTTTACGTACATAATAATGAAAGATTTATTTGGGGTTAAGTACTGAATTGTGTATTGAAAAATGATTTCTTTTAGTTTCACCAGATTCAATATTTGAAAAACTCGAGCGTATACACTACAATGTTTTAGTTCTCTCATCGCTATTTTTCATTTTCATTTTCAATAAAAATATTATCTGTAAACAGATCATTCACAACAATACACTGCGATTTAAAGGTCTCACGCTCTCATGCAAAATTTTGCTTCTTAAAAAACAAAGCTAAAAATAAGTGCTTTATAGTGTTAAAACGTACATGTAAAGGGCTACAGAAAAGCATAAGTGAGTTAAGAGAGGTAAAATCTAAGCCCACAAAGCGTTGCGACACTTCAAAGTCGACCCTGTCTTAAAAATTGATGAGACTGTAATCAAGGTAAATCTATGTGAATACCCTTCCATATCGTCGTTTCTTTTGAAATTAAAATATCCCTCAAATAAAATACTCAACTTTTTAATTTTAAGCAGAGCAATTGGGGCAATTTCTTTATTCTATTGTCTCAAATGTTTACAGATAAATATATTGAAAATGAAATTATGCCTATATCTAGATAGAAGCAAAACCATCAGTAACTAATAAATCATCCAACCCACCAACCTAACAATAAAAAAATCGCGAAATGGTCAAACACAATTTTAAATCCAAACTTACAATGTTTACAATAAATGATGTAAGATAAACACAAGAAAATGTAAATATTGTGGTTTCATGTCAGCCCTACATACTCCCCAGGGGGGTGTTCAAATACCCCCCAATCCCTATTAGGGTCCTTTCTCCCCCCCCTTCTCTCACCGGTTAGTTAATACTATTCCAGTGGAGAGCAGTAGTATTCAAGACACCTGAGTGAACGCATAACATTGAGAGAATGCTATAGATAGATAGATAGAGACGTGAACAAAATTTACAAGAATGATCTCGAGGTTTTCAAGTTTTATTTTTTTTATAATTCTTGGAACGAGCAACATGATTAGCATTTCAAACAAAGGTATTTTTTTCAAATTTTGCCATTCATATATGAAAGTTTTTTTGGATATTTCTGAAGTTGCCAATTTACCATGCAAATAAAACGTATTTTTGATTATTGTAAGCGACCCTTTAATCTAATCAACGATTCAAAACATGTTAGACTGCTGTAAATTATTGAGGCATATGTAATAGAAGATAGCTGGAACTTTGTCGTTATTATTTTTTCACAAAGATTTGCAATTAGTATTGCTCCTGAATTCTACAAGTTGATTTTTTTAAATACACGAAATGAAATTAATAATTTATATAAAATAGAAATTTTTTAATATCCTTTATAATACAATTTTGGTAAAAAGTATTAAAAAGTATGAAAAAAAAAACTTGCCTTTAGATGTCAGATTTTTCTATTTTCCCCACATATCTTTAAACTCCTGTCCTGATTAGCTAATAGCTATAGTGCCCGGCGTTGCCTGTGGAATAATTTTTTTTTAATGGAAAATAATTACATCTTGTAAAAAACATTTATTTTTTAAGCCTTTGTTACCCCTGGATTCCCTAAAAGAATGTTCATTAATTTGTTCCAGCCATTTGGCCAGTTATTGTCAAGAAATGAATATATTTATAGCTAGATATATGAGCGAAGAGCGTAGCGTGATTAAGTGATGTCACTTATGATTATTATGTTAGGTCCCTTTAAATTAGAATAAAGTGAACAGTCCCTTAAAAAATATTTTTCAGGACCCCCTCATGCTGATGAGAGTGAGGTGAAGTATGTGGCTCGGGTTGGTGAGGAGGTGAAGATGAAGTGTAGTATAGAGGCACACCCTCCCCCCCTCGTTATGTGGTCCAGGGAGGGAGAAACCATAGATCATTCATGGGTTAGGTAGGTTGATTTTACTTCTCAAATGGTCCAGGAAGGAAGAAACTATAGATTATTCCTGGGCTAGGTAGGTTGATTTTACTCCTCAAATGGTCCAGGAAGGGAGAAACTATAGATTATTCATGGGTTAGGTAGGTTGATTTTACTCGTCATGTGGTCCAAGAAGAAAAACAAATATTAAATGCAGTTTGAGCATATCATAAACAGAAAGCTTAATAACATAATGGGACTGTAAGCGTAATTTCAAGTGACCCTACATGCAAAAAAATGGCAATGCCCCATGAAACCTTTTTCTGATGAAGTATGAATAAGATATCAATGTTTTTATTTCTTTAAACCGTTTATTTTCATTTGCTGTTGTTTTCTGCGAAAGTGACATGCGTATTTCTTGATCTATCAGAAAAACGACGGTATCTTCCACATTATTGATCAGATTAATGTTTCAAGGGTACCGTTATACAACGGGCATTGCCATCTTTGCATGGAGGGTCACTTAAAAATACGGTCACAATCCCTTTAAGAGACCAAAACGAGATTTTGAGAAATACTAAAAGATTAAATTTAGCGTTGAAGAAAGACAATATCTATACATTTCTAAAATTATTGCTAGTAGGCGGGGAAGTATAAAAGACAATATCTATACATTTCTAAAATTATTGCTAGTAGGCGGGGAAGTATAAAAGACAATATCTATACATTTCTAAAATTATTGCTAGTAGGCGGGGAAGTATAAAAGAAACTAGTTTAACTACTTGAAGCCTAATTATGTATGAAAACATATAAAAATAAAATCTAATTATATCGTAAAACAGTTTTAATAAAACAAACCGCGGTCAGAGTTTTCATCTAAAAGAAACCCGGTTGTTTGATTTTCAAATTATTGTTATATTAAATGATACAATTTTCATGATTGTTAATAATATCGTTTTCTAACATTTTTTAATCAGGCAAGAGTAAATTATTTCTTCAACACCCTTTAGATTTTAACTGTTAACGATAGATATTTTTCAATCTTTTACATTTTAATTGCAGTGGAACTCCGTAAAAATCTGCAAGTTTAATATAAATAAAAATGTTATTCTTAAAACATTTGCTTTCGATTTTACTAAGATATAAGATTATGGACTGTGACAGAAGATTTAAGCCTAAATTAAGCAAAAGAAACAACTAGAAACACCGTTTAACTGAGTTATAATTTTGCATAGTGTAAAGCTAACTTAAATAGCTTACAATCAACTTTTCAAGAAGCCTCTTTAAAACGGTCTTTATTAAGGTATAGAGCTAGTAGAACATATTGTCAATATATCTAGGTATAGAACTAGTAGAACATATTGTCTATATTTAGGTATAGAACTAGTAGAACATATTGTCTATATCTAGGTATAGAACTAGTAGAACAAATTGTCAATATATCTTGGTATAGAACAGTAGAACATATTGTCTATATCTAGGTATAGAACTAGTAGAACATATTGTCAACCTATCTTGGTATAGAACTAGTAGAACATATTTTCTATATCTATGTATAGAACTAGTAGAACATACTGTCAATATATCTTGGTATAGAACTAGTAGAACATATTGTAGGTATAGAACGAGTAGAAAGATCTTGAAGATCAAGAGTGCTGAACTAGAAGATACAGGGATATACTACTGCAAGGGAATCAATGGCTTCGGAAAAGCAGAGATCAGAATTGATCTAATTGTCATAGGTATACTCTAGATAATATATAGGTATACTCTAGATAATATATACACTTAGAAATGAATACATGAAAGAATGGATGATAGGATGAATCAATGATGAAAATAATTTATAAAATGAATGGTAGGATGAATAAGGATGAATAGATAGAATAAACAGAATAAACTAATAATTGATTAAGCGAATAAATGAATATATTGATAAATGGATAAATTAATGAATAAATAAAGGAAAAAATTCATAAAACAATGAGTAAATGAATAAATGAATAAATGAATAAATGAATAAATGAATAAGTGAATAAATGAATAAATGAATAAATGAATAAGTAAATAAATAAATAAATGAATAAATGAATAAATGAATAAATGAATAAATAAATAAATAAATAAATGAATAAATGAATAAATGAATAAATGAATAAATGAATAAATGAATAAATGTATAAATGTATAAATGTATAAATGAATAAATGAATAAATGAATAAAAGAACAAATGAATAAATGAATAAATGAATAAATGAATGAATGCAAGGATGAATAAATGAATGAATGAATGAATGAATAGATAAATGAATAAGTGAATGTCTAGATCCTGGTGAATACCCCCAGCTAGCTGAAGCTGACCTGCCTACTCTGGCTCCCCCTGTATTTACATCAGCTACTAGAGATCACAGGAAAACTATTCTCCGAGAGTCCGGAGACACTGTTAGGTCAGTAAAGTCTAGCGTTCATCTCTCTTAAAGGGACTGTAAATATTCATTCAAAGTGACCTGTCAGATTCACAACGGTACTCCTAAAAGCTTTTAGTGATCAAGAATTAATTTTTAACTAGGAAAATTTTTGAAATTAAAAACTTGTCAAGCTGAAAAAAAGATTTCTTTCACATTTTTGATCAGAAAAAGGTTTAAAAAGGGTTTTGAATCGTGCATAACTCTATTCTGTCACTTGAAATTACAACAAAAGTCGACAGTGCCTTTCCAACAGAAGGTTCATGCACTAAATACAATGTTTGAATTGAGGAATAGCAAATTCATAAAAACCGTAATTCATTCAATTAAAAATTTTTCCATAAAAGTAAGGCCAAATTTACAGGGTTACACACATGGGATTAGAATTCAGAGACGACAGTGCGGAATTGATTCAATCTCTGGATAACACATATTCAGAAGTCTCGGATGCAACTTGGTTCTATCTTTGCCAAATCATTTAAATTTTATTTTGACATGTTGTACTGTTTAAACAGACTAATATTAGTAAATACCAAAATAAGAAAACTTCCTTATCACAAAATAAAACGAATTAACCAAAATTCATATTTTTTTCTATTCTAGTTTGAGTTGTGAATCTGTTGGAAAACCTTCTCCCCAAATTTCTTGGTATAAAGATAGAGAACTATTTAGGTTTGTAAATTCTAATTTATGGATAAATTGAAAAATTCTGGTTTTTCTTTTCTATTACAAAATGTTCATCTTTTTTTCTTAGTAAATTCTATTGTGCAAATGCATTGAAAATGATAATTTTTATCTTTGCGTTCTTATTTTTTTCTATTTTTCTCTTGCATTTTCTTTTTTAAGTATTAGCTTACAAAATGGTGTCTTTATTTTTCTTAGTTTGATATTTTTTCAGCAATTTGATTTTATCCCTATTGTCTTTAATTTTTATCTTACCTTTATTATTTTATCCATTTTCGTCTTTTTATTGTTTGTTTTGATAATTTGTTATTTAGGTCTACAGGATCTACTCTTGTTCTACAGAATATAGGATCCAGAGATGCAGGAATATATACTTGTACAGCACAGAATATAGTTGGATCTATATCTACACAGTTCAATGTACAGGTACAATTAGATTTAACCCTATCCCCGCTGGGGTACTTGAAAACCAGGATACGCTGGGGGGGGGGTCAATTTGACCCCCCCCCTCTAAATCCCATGTTTTATGATCAAATTGACCCCCCCCCCAGCGGGAATAGGGTTAAGGGCGCTTCGTGCCTCTCTTTCTAAACATAATTTCAGCTTAAATACATTTTATTTATAAAAAATCTTGCCAGGGTTCATCAGAGGTTCCAAACAAATTGGGTCTAATTGTTCCACCAGTTTGGTTCATTGGATTATAAAGTTAGAGCTAGAAAGACAAGTTAAATTATATATCAATCTATATAATAAAGTCTTCGCTCGATCATATATATATATATATTTGTATATTTGTATATATAAATATATGTAAGTTATAGCTGGACAAACGGCTGTACCAAATTGGGTGAATTTTTTTAGGAAACCCATGGGTACCTTGGGGCATCGGCTAAACAAATGATATTTTTGTGTTTTAAAAATTGATCTTTTTCTTCAAAAATCTAATTTATTATTAAAAAAACATGCCGTATAAAACTTAAAATCAAACACTTAGTAGTCCCTCTAATGAATGAACTGCATAGGTACTGTTAACCCCAATTTTAAGGCTAATTTCCCCTAAAACTGACAATTAGCATAATAGCTCCTGAACAATTGTTTTTTCTTCTTCAATATTTGTCCTAAATTAGCGGTAAAACCATTACAGAAAACATAAACCTTTGTAAAAAAAACTAATAAACACCCATATAATATATTATAACTACATTTCAAGTGTTTATAATAAACTGGTCCAATAAACACTCCTGAAATACAAACTCCTAAAATAACTCCGAAAATACAAACTACCAAAAATACAATCTCATGAAACAAAAACTCCGGCAAGTCTAGCTCCGGCAGCACAAACTACGGAAAGACAACCACTTGAAATGCAAACTCCTAAAACACTAACTCCTAAAATACAATCTCATGAAATACAAACTCCTGAAACAAAAACTCCTGAAATACAAACTCCTGAAATACAAACACCTGAAAAGACAAACTCCTGAAATATTTTTTGCCGCATCGCAAATTTCCGCACTTTGTTTATTCAGGATTACAAGAGATATATGCCTTTTCCGGATTTTGTAATTCCGAAATTTCGTTTTTAAAGATTTTCTTCCACCTCCGTTGTTGGAAACCCTGTTTACATTATATACTCCCGGCCATGTACCCTTCTTTAAGTTTTTACCCATTAAATCTCAATTGACTTTATTTTACCCCAAACTGGTTAAAAAGTGGGGGAAGGGAAACTACCAAATATAGTTTAGTGTCGGCCATTAAATCTCTGCTTTTAAGGTTTCTGTTTCTAAACATCAAATATTTAAAGGTGGCAAAATAGGCCCTTTGCCGTTTCTTGGAAACAAGGTTTGTAAATCAAAATGAACTAACAAGGCAGAATATTTAACGGATGTATTTCATTGTTTTTGTTTCATCTTTTCTTTGTTTTTGTGAAATTATACGTTTCTCGTTTAGTTAATAGGGGGGTCCATTTACATGCAAATGACCAAAATCTACATTTACTACGTAATTATCTCAAAACAGGGGTGGATATTAATCACATATATTTGTCATTTGAACTCATTCAAATGGCGAGTTTTCTTTCTTCCGGTGATAATTTTTTTCCAATATGGCGGTTCATTTTTTAAAATGGCGGTTTTTCAGCTGTCCCTGTGGGGAAAGAATTAAATCTCTTTCTTGAATTGCAATTAATTCTTGAGACGGGAACAACGAAAACAGAATTTTATTTAGACAGCGGAAGGGAAGGGAAGGGAAGGAGAGAAAAGGGAAGGGAAGGGAAGGAGAGAAAAGGGAAGGGACGGGAAGGAGAGAAAAGGGAAGGGAAGGAGAGAAAAGGGAAGGGAAGGAGAGAAAAGGGAAGGGAAAGGGAGGGAAGGGAAGAGGTGTTAGGAAAATGAAAACTTTGTATTTTTAAGGGAAACAAAAATGGAAAAGTAAAAAGAATAGATTTAAGAAATAAACAGAATAGATTTAATATATATATACGTAATACATTACATTTCATTTTCATATTGATGAAAATGACATTTGTTTATTCTTGGTTGATATTTTAAACTGATGTTAAACACAAACATTTTCATGTTTTGATTAATTACACTTTTAAAAGCTTTAGATAAAAATTAGAAAAACATGTGAACTGAATCTGATAAATTAAAACAGCTATCTCTAAAATAAAATTATAAAAACTAAATTTTTTTTAGATTCTTCCGGATGAATCCAGCCCAGAAATATTCTTTGGCCCGCGCAATATTACAGTTGAACAAGGAGAAAATGCGCGTTTGGATTGCCGTGTACGCAGCAGGGAACTACCGGCCATCAAGTGGCTACGACGATTGACGGAGATGAAGATTGCTGACATGGCCGACGAAATTATTTCGGTCGGTGACGAGAAATATAAACTTATTTCCAGTTCACGGTTAGTTTTTTTTATTTAGATATTTATTTATTATTTTTTTTCTTTATCATTTAAATCTTAATAGTAGAACACACAAGCGTATTTGAATTCGTTATATGTATCCGAACTTGCGTTTTTCATGTTGTGCCTAAAATCAAAACTAGAGGAGCAACGAGGTCACAAAGTCGTGCCAGAGTAATGTCATTTGAGTTTGACCTTCTCCTCCTGGTTAGTTTGCAGTTTACATGTAATATTAGGAATATGTTGCAAAATGTTTCCGACATTTTCTCGTTAATTATTTTTTAATTTCCCCTTTACACTCATCCCTCGTATCCATCCCTCATTCTTCAACTGATGGATGATAATTGAAACAAGTTGACAATGACAGAATTAGCTCCTCCTTATTATCAGTTTTTAATTTACAATCTAAACAGAAATATGCTCTATATTTCTATACAAACACATACACCCTGACCTATAAAACTATGGAATTGGAAGACGACTGTTACACTCAAGTTATGATTTAGATGTTCAATGGACAGAAAACAAAGCAATTGCGCAGTGTACACAGACCCATTTAACTTAATTATTTGATTTTTAAGCTACTAGCCGGTTAAACTTGTTTTTGCTGTATAACTACATTTATTATAATCAAACCGGGTGCAGTTTTTGGGAACAAAAAGGCTGTCCTATAATAAATGTTAATCAAGAATATGGAATAATACATTTAGGTTTTCTTGAATATAATTAATTTTGTCAAAAGCCTGAATAGTAATGATAATAATTACATATTCCAGTTTTGATAATGATCTTAATGATATTAATATAATTTTTAATGGACATATTAAATATAGTAAAAATATTATGTTAAGAATAAAACTATTTAGGACGATAGAGCTTGGTGTTGACGAGTATATGTCCCAGCTAGATCTGCAGTCCGTGTCTCTGGACGATTCTGGAATGTATGTTTGTTTTGTGACGTCACTGGGAGCCGGAGGGTTTAGTGTCAAATCATCATTTATACATGTTATTGAAAGTAAGATTTTTTTTTAAATACAGGGTTCCCACAAAGGATGAGACTGCAAAGACGACTGTACGGAATGCATTCAGTATATTTTCTTGAATTTTCGGTTTACTTCAGCAGTAAACTATTTAATTTCCAATTCATTAACCAATTGTAAGTATGTCAAAAAACAAAATGTTGCCTTTAGATCTTTGAAATTTAGAGTTTTAGGTCGTTATTAAAGTTTCATCTTTCGTGGGTAAAATGTTTAATGATGCTTCTATGATCAAAATCTGACATACAGATCTATCTAATGAGCCTTGTCTAATCTTTGTTTACTTTCAGAAACCGGTTTGTTGGATGAATCAGCTTCCGTTACAGTTCTGATTATCTCTCTCGCTGTTGTACTTCTCCTCCTAGCCGCAGCAACAATATTCTATTGTGCCAATAAACGGCGAAAGGAATTGTCCGGCGCCGAGCTCCAAAAACCCCTCGGAGACCCTAAACCCCTAGAGCAGCGTCCAATTTTCAGGGAAAATAACATGAAAATAGTTGTTAATAAAATGGACGATTTATTGAACCAAAACACGCAATATTTGCAAACAGCTGGTTCCCCGCTCACCAACAAATCCGCCAAATATATTCCGGAGAAATGTGAAGAACCAACCTACGAGGTTCCACACGTTCTTCCAGGTAACCTCCGACTTGACCGTGGAGGTTATTATGATTCCAGAGAAGTTATTCGACCCAGTTATTTTCCTCGACAATAACTTTATTGTTATAAAATCATTCATTCTGTTGAAAATCCACATGTAAAGTTTTAGTGTATATATACGATAAATAAACGTCTTTATCAAATCATAAATAAATTAATAGTTTCTTGTTTGGAAGTTTCGGCTAAAGCCCCATTATAACAATTAATTATCGTTCATTTTTCCTACCCTATAATCCAGCTCGTATATTCGGCATACATGGTGTCAGAAGAAAAAATATGTAAATAAAAATGTACTTAGAATGATAAAGATTGCTAGTTTGTGGGACCAGATTGAAAGAATAGCCAGAAGTAGTTGCATAAACCACGTGCCGCCAGTTTAACCAGTTCTCTTGTATGTCAAGTTGAAGAGAAGTGGTTCAAGTTAATCTGAGTAGTTCAGCTATTTCTCTTATTCATTAAATTTGGTCCCGGTTTTTCAAAAAAAAAATATCTTATCTCCATAACCGCGCAGTAGACTTTGTGACCTCGTAGCTCCTAGTTTTGATTTTACGAACTAATACAGGGAATATTAGTTTCAAAACTTACACTTGTCCCATTTCTAACACTGAGTGTTAGAAATGGTACAAGTGTTCGTTTTGGAACTAATGTCCCCTGTAATATGAGATAGATTTATTTAGTTGCAAACTAGAAATTCAAAACGTTTTTCCTCTTCTCAATGGCTTTCCAATCAAAAAATGTAAAATTTCAATATAACGTAAAATTTACTTTAATTTCGCGTGTAAAACAATGAAAAGCATTATTTGTATACATTTTACCCCATTAACTGCAGGGTATTGATTATCTATTAGCAAACTACGAAGAGAGGGAATTTTTCTAAAGTTAATAATTATAATTTCCGACATTAATCAATCTTCTCTAGTATACATTACTTATTAATACCTAACCACAAAAAACTGGAGGGTGTCTACTGTCTAACTCTATGGTACAAACTAGGCTTTTAGGGCGCTTCGCGCCTGTTTTATATTAACATGTTCATCTTATTTTCAATCATTATTCACATGGACTTTTTTCAGGGCTCTATTTTTTTTAATTTAAACAGGTTTAGATGTTTTTACGTTTTTGGGATACACACAAACAGACAAGCCAAATATAAATATGGATTGTGATGTAGAGCCTTTCCAAAAAAAGGTTTTAGAGAAAAGTTTCTGTGCACTTGTATACACGACTGTGAAGTCTAAATAGACTTTCTATTTTACAGTTTATAGAATAAATTGGTTTAACATTTAAACGAGTTCAAAAATTTAGATGTTGGTTCTGTGGCTTAATTATTCATTGAGATATGGCAGGTTGCTAAGCTATAGAGATTAGAAAATTTAAGTATGTAGCGAGTAAACAGTTTCATGTACAAAGATGAGATATTTTAGTACTGAGTTCAACCTGTTTCTGTCCCCGCCCAACTCAATGAACCAATTCTATTCGACTCATCTCAGCTTCTTGTCTTGTCACTCGGGGGGAGGGAGGGGGTGACATTCACATAATCCATCCGAGCCACATTCTCCCTATTTTTTCATCCGAGCCACCTCAAAATTGTTATCCTTTTAATTGTTAAGATGAAAAATCCTTTAGATCGTAAACGTAAATTTTTTTAAGTTACTCACCGACCCTCCATGCTAAGATGGCAATGCCTGTTACCCAATGGTACCCTTAAACCTTTTATCTGATCATTTATGTGGAAGATATTGTCGTTTTTTCTAGGCTTAAAGGTGTTTTCTTCTGACAATTTTCCTGCAGTAGAAAAGCGCACGTCATTTCTCTAGAGAATTAATAGTTGAAAAGTGACCCGAATTCAGATTTTTGCTCAATTTTGCAAAAAAAAAATCTGGCGGTTTGTTTTTTGCGAAAATCTCAAGAATTAAAGGGGTAAGACAGGCTAAAGTTATAATACTGAATTGAAAAATATTGTGATATATGTGCAATTTAGAATAGATTAATCCTTTTAATTAAAATATATCATCGAGAATAAGGATAAACATTAAACATGGTATTATCTAACATTTTAATTATGTTTAAGTTAATGAGTTTACGCGGATTAATTATTATTAAAAGATTATTCAAACCTTTTCCATGGATTAACATACATCTATAATTAAAGTTATAAATATGAACCTTACCAATGAGGGGGAGTAGTTGGAGGGGGGGGGGTGTATTAAGAAGAATAGTAGAGGGGGGGATTTATAAGGGGTATTTAAATATAAAGAGGGGGTCTGAATTTGTATTAAGAATTTGATTGACATAAACACAGATATAAACTATTTGGGAGGTATAAGTAGCGGGGGGGGGGAGATTAAGAAGGAGGAGGAGGGTAAGACAAATGGGTTGAAGGGGGAGATGGGGGGGGTGTATGATTGACAGTTGGATGAAGTGGGTTGACCGCTTGAATTATTAGGAAACCTGTCAATTATATTCTATATCAAACATATTTGTAAAGATGGCAAACCTCAAGAATATGTAGACAGTAAACGTTATATAAGCTAGTTTAAATAGAAGTAAACATTCCCATTTACTGTGATAGCGCCGATATAAGGATTCATATCTCTAATTGGATAATGAGATAGAAGGAAAGATAGACATTACCGCCATGCAATTTCTATAGGTTCAGAATAGACAACAAACACATGACTGAACCCTGATTGGATCAGGCGCTAAGGAATCGGCATATTTGAGTAAGAACAACGGATATTTTTCTTAAGATAAAGGTCTAAGGAGTCGGGTGTAAATCAGGCAAGCCATTTTATAAATGAAGGGTAATGTATTGCTCTTTAACCATATTAGATTGCAAATAAATATAAATATAAACATATTTATTTACTTTCACAATGTAATGTTGTATTCTAAAATTATTTCAGGAATAGAGATACATAGGATAGATATTGTATATCAACAAATAAATATATGCATTCTTAACAAATATATATGTATATTCTTAAAAAATATATATATATATGTGTATATTCTTAACAAATAATTATGGATATTCTGAACAAATATATATGTATATTCTTAACAAATATATATGTATATTTTTAACAAATATATATGTATATTCTTAACAAATATATATGTATATTCTTAACAAATATATATGTATATGTATATTTTTAACATATATATATATGTATATTCTTAACAAATATATATGTATATTCTTAACAAATATATGTGTATATTCTTAACAAATATATATGTATATTTTTAACAAATATATATGTATATTCTTAACAAATATATATGTATATTCTTAACAAATATATATGTATATTCTTAACAAATATATATGTATATTCTTAACAAATATATATATATTCTTAACAAATTTTTATTGGTTTTACTGAATCTATTGTAATATATATGGGCTTTAAGTAAAGAGACTATACAGGTATTTTCAAGTGAGCCTTTATTCAAAGCAGGCAATGTCCGATTCACAAGGGTACCCTTGAACCCTTTAACAAAAAGTTATTGTTTTTTTATGTTTAAACGTGTTTAACTCTGATAATTCCTTTATGTTTCATTACTTTTGTCACTTTTGTAGAGAATTACAAAATCACAATTGTATTAAATCAGTTTTTAAAATTACTAGCATTGATATCTAATTCATAATTGATCAGACAAATATTTTAAGGGTATCGTTTTGAATCAGAGCATCGACATTTTTGCATAGTGAGTCCCTTGAAATTACACTTACAGTCCCTTAAATGATTTTTTTTAACTAAAAATACACTCTGTATAATCATAATCCTTACAGTCCCTTAAATGAATTGTTTTAACTAAAAATACACTCTGTATAATCATAATCCTTACAGTCCCTTAAATGAATTTTTTTAACTAAAAATACACTCTGTATAATCATAATCCTTACTCACCTGCTTTGTGTTTAATCCCCCTGTATTGTCATATCCTTGTCAAGTCAGTCAAATCCCATGTAGAAGAGAGCGATAAGAAAAAAAACCGTTTCTAAAAAAATGTTTGTTCAGTCAGGGCTCACTTTGTCCTGTCATATTTTTGGCACCGCCTTCATATTTAGTTGATTTTCTGGAATTATTTGACAGATTGAGAGAAAATTTGATTTTTAGAAAACAATCTGAACAGGATGGCAAATAGAAATTATCAATACATGTTTTCAGATAAATAATTTAAAATAATTTTAAATCATTTATCTGATAAAATAAAATTATTATTACATAAAATAATCAGATATAATAATTCAAAATAATTTGAACAGGGTAGCATAATGAAATTATCATTAAATGTTGTCAGATATAATAATTCAAAATAATTTGAACAGGGTGGTAAATAGAAATTATCATTAAATGTTGTCAGATATAATAATTCAAAATAATTTGAACAGGGTGGTAAATAGAAATTATCATTAAATGTTGTCTGATATAATAATTCAAAATAATTTGAACAGGGTGGTAAATAAAAATTATCATGAAATGTTGTCAGATATAATAATTCAGAATAATTTGAACAGGGTAGCATAATGAAATTATCATTAAATGTTGTCACATATAATAATTCAAAATAATTTGAACAGGGTGGTAAATAGAAATTATCATGAAATGTTGTCAGATATAATAATTCAAAATAATTTGAACAGGATAGCATAATGAAATTATCATTAAATGCTGTCAGATATAATAATTCAGAATAATTTGAACAGGGTGGTAAATAGAAATTATCATTAAATGCTGCCATATATAATAATTCAAAATAATTTGAACTGGGTGGTAAATAGAAATTATCATGAAATGTTGTCTGATATAATAATTCAAAATAATTTATACAGTGTGACAAAATAAAATTATTATTAAATAAAATAATCAGATATAATAATTCAAAATAATTTGAACAGGGTGGCAAATAGAAATTATCATTAAATGTTGTCAGATATAATAATTCAGAATAATTTGAACAGGGTAGCATAATGAAATTATCATTAAATGTTGTCAGATATAATAATTCAAAATAATTTGAACAGGGTGGCA